AATTTAATTGACATATTTTAAATTGAATTTATTTATTGGTCCATTTATATATTTCTGTTGTTTTTTCTAGTTATGTCAGTGTCGGTCCTCCATACTGCAGAACTTGGTAATTCAATGTCTGAATCAGGTGTGTTGGAACAGGAAAATCATAAAACCTGTAGGGCTGCGGCCCTCGAGGACCAGGATTGCCCACCCCTGGACTAAAATATTTTTTTAAATTACATTTTTTAAACAGTTATTTAAATTGTTCAAGCTCATGTAATCATTTAATACTGTTTATTCTACATATTTGATCATTTATTGAATTTATCACAGAGCAGCCCTGTTCTAAATTTAAACAAGAAGTGAAGAATTAAAGTTGTATACTTATGATAAACTACAGAAACATTTGAACCGCTCTCACCTGGAGAACATTGTGTTCTCCTGGTGAGGATGAGGAGGTAAACGTTAAACAGATAAATGTTTGTCAGTGAATCTGACTCACAGCACGCGCTGCAGCGCACTAGGCAGTCTCGGCTTGGTTCGTACTCTGGTACTCACGCAGAAAGCGTGCATCCTCGCCAGTGATGGAGGAGTTTATATTTGGAGATTACATTATTGTAGTAAAACAGGACATGTAGCAGAACAATTTATAACTTGTGAAATAATGTAGGATAGGAGAGCAAAAGCATGACTGACAAACAAACTGAATGTTGCCCACAGCCTTTGCTCGAGCAGTTTGGTCACGCACGCACTGTTGGACATATCTGTTGGATAACAGCGCTCTTAACACAAAAATTTTATATAAAGTTAAGTTTTATAGACAAAAGTCCAAGGAGAGAAATGAGGGAGGAGAGGTTTCACTCAGGACTGACCCGCCCTGCTCTGCTCTGATTGGATAAAAGTGCTCTGGGGTTTGTTTCATTTGTTGAAAGTAGTGGTGCCTTTAGGGGTAGACTGGGTGGCTTTAACAACAACGCGACAGAAAACAACCAGAGGTTTTTTCCCCTCCTCCCTCAGATGACAGAAATCTGTCCTGGCCACGTTCAAAGTGAAGGAAATCCATCGTGGTGATGGAGAACTTTAAGCCCTGTTACATATTTGTCCAGGTGCAGCTCGTCCATAAGGGCAGGTGGGGCATAGCCCCACCTAAAATAATATTCATTCACCCCACAAAGTAGTTCCTCTTAATAAATAATGTAAAATCCTTATTTACGCATTGTATTATGTATTGTTCTGTTCTGTGTGCTTCTCAATTGTTTTGACAATTTTAAATTGAATTTGAAATGTTTTTCAGTGACTAAAGCTCAGGTTTTTACTTATTTACAGTCATAGGGTGGTACAGTCTGACGCTCTGCGTTCCTATCATGTTAATGTATACTCCCCCTGCTGGCAATAATCGGTATTACCAACTCCTCTGATTAGAGCAGTGTTTCCCAAAGTTGGGGTCGGGACCCAAAGTGGGGTCCTGAAACATCAAGGTGGGGTCCTGAAAAGATTTTCTGAATTAATTATATTTTTGCCTTAGTTGTTACAAAGGAGTGAGGTTAT